ACGGATCTAATGACGGTTTTCCAAAGGAATATCCCTATGCCATCACATATCGGTCCAGTACTAGGACGCAGTTCTTACATTGATGATATTGCTCATGGTGCGAAAACATGGGATCAACTTTGCGAAGATCTGGATACCTTGCTGTATCGCTTACGTTACTGGAATATATCAGCGAGTTTACCAAAGAGCGAGTTTGGAAAACGATCGATCCCCTACCTGTCACATGAAATTAGTGCAGAAGGTATCCGAGCGACCCCAAAAGTTGCGAAAGGTGTTATGGATCTACCGTTCCCCAAATCTCACAAAGGTGTGCTATCGTTTCTTGGAAGTCTGAACTACTACCATAAGTTCATTGAAGACTTTCCGGTAGTAGCAGCAGTTCTTTATGAACTTTCAGAAGACCAGATACGTCAAGGACGAGACCTCTCGCGAGCTCACGAATCGTTAGAGCTGCTCAAAAGGAAAATCGTTGCGACGCCAATGTTGAGACATCCGGACATCCAAAAGCCATTTGTAATCATTCCGCAAGCGAACCGTTGGGCTCCTTGTGCAATCGTAGGACAAGAACACGACGGAAAGATACAACCAGTTCGGTACACGGGACGCGTTTTGAACGATGCCGAACTCCAGTATCACATTGCCAAGAAGGAGGTCATTGCTATCCTGCGAGCTTTACAAGTATTTCGGACTACTCTGGAAGGCCGACGACTGATCATTTACACAAGATATTCTGTTTTAAAATGGGTGTTACAGTCAAAGTCGGCAGACGGGAGGTGTGTCCCTTGGGGAGTCACGCTCTCACATTGGGATATTGAGATCAGGAAAGTCCAAAAGGATGAAGATGGACTTGCAGCCATCATGGAAGCAGGGATCACACCACGGGAACATTTGGATGAGGCTGTGGAAACGTTGATCCCCCTGGAGGGACATGTCCGAAAGCCCCCAGTAGTGAGAGTGGAGATGTTGGGAAGGGATTTCCAAGGAGTCGTGCTGAGTTTCGACGGTGCCGCAAAACACTCCACCAAGAAGGGGAGTTGTGGTTGTGTATTATGGCAGTTACCCGGTTGGAAGGTTTTGAAAGCGAAGGGTTTCCTTTTGGAGAATGTCACGGTAAACGACGCCGAGTACCATGGACTTCTCAAAGGACTCGAGATGGCCATCGAAAAGGTTGCAGGATTTGGTCGCAGTGGGAGATTCCCGGATTGTTATTCAACAAGTTCAAGGACTGATCAACTGCAATCAGCCACATCCCCAAAAGCATCTTGCTAAGGTTGAGGTGTTGAAGAAGGAATTCGGATCGTTACGCCTGGTTCATCTGAAGCGAGAATACAATCAGGCTGCTGACTATTTGACCACGAAGACTTTGGCTATGGATGAGTCATGGGACGTTATGGATCCGGTCGAGATCGAGCATTTGGAGCAGGTATCAAAGTTTGCGGAAAAACTCATGAAAGTGGAGGACCCCAAGTTGAAATCTGGGGTCGATCCAACTTCTGGAGGAATACTGTCGAAGGACGCCGAGCAGCCTACTGCGGAGTCAGCTCCATTGACAAAATCAGCTCGCGTACTTGCAGCTGTGACGCGTTCCAGAAGCCTGGCCGAATCCACTTTGAGGAACCGACCTATGAATCCTTTGGAATTCCAAGCTGAACGATGGCGACGCATCCGGGTACATCAGGACGCAGATGAGTATCTGTCTGAGATCAAAGACTTTCTGAAGGAGGACCTCGAAAAGTTCTCGCCCCGAAGACTGAGAAAGGTCGCCAATGTTGCCGATCTATTCGTGCGAGACACTAGGGATGTGTTGTATCGACTAGCTCGCTCAACTCGCGATCGCCCTCGGGGCCTTCAAGATGATCCTCGACTCGTTGTTCCAAAAGCTCTCAGGGACGATGCCCTACATTATAGTCACGAGGACTTTCAAGGAGGCCACCAAGGCATCACCAGGTCCCATAAGAGGTTATGTTCAGAATTCTACTGGCCTGGGATGTATGCGGACGTTGAACACTTTGTGAAGGAGTGCGTTGATTGTGCGAGTGGAAAGGGAAAACCCCCAAACGCCGGACCATCGCCTGGGAATATCGAACCTCGACAACCTTTCGAAGTGGTTTCGATGGATTTTGTGACACACATGCCGAAGTCCGACCGAGGTAATAAATTTTTGCTATGATTCCAAGACATGTTTTCTGGGTATGTGATGTGCAAATCAATGGGTTCAACCACCGCTCAGGATGTTGCAGAGGCCTACGAGGAGCGTGTATTTCGGAACTTTGGAGCGAGTTCGATGATTCGACATGACCAACATCCCCGCTTTATGAGCGAGGTATTTACTCGTTTTCGAGAACTCTTGAATAGTCGTCAGAGGGCTACTCTGGGATACCGGCCCCAAGCGAACGGACAACAGGAATGATCGGTCCAAAAGGTTGTCAGGAGTATTCGTGCCTATATCGAACAAGCCGACCAGAGTGACTGGGATGACCATGCGGAAAGACTGATGTTTGCTTTAAACACTTCGTTCGATGCGACACGTTTAAATACCCGTTTTACTTGATTCACGGTTGGGACCCACAAAGCATTCTGAAAGCGATGTTGGGTCCGATGCCATCAAGTGTACCTGAGAGGACCGCTTACGAGTGGAGACGAAAAGTTCAAAGAGACTATAGCTACGCGAAAGCGTGTGCCGAGGACTTGCAGAACAAGGCCCGACGACATCGTTCCGACCTCCAAACGAAGAAGTGGAAAGAGTTATCCGAACGTCTGAGATCGGGTTTTCGAAAAGGAGATGCCGTGTGGTTATATATTCCAAAGGTGCAGACTGGACTAAGCAAGAAGTTGGCGCATCTATGGCATGGGACTTTTCGGATTGATGAAGTATTGGATGATTTTAGGGTGAAATTGAAAGTTGACAAGACCGGTTACCCGGTTAATCCATGGGTTCATATCAGTCGCCTGAAGCCAAGAGCGTTATTTCCCAAAAGACCGACAGTCAGTGTGGAGATAGACGAAGAAGACGACTTTGATGCTGCGCTGCTCCCAGAAGACAGTTGGGAAGCGGACGCCCAAGAGGATGAGTACGAGGTGGAAAAGATTCTGGATCTAAGATGGTCTAAGAAAACTCGGACCTCCAAAAGACGTCGAGAGTACCTGGTCAAGTGGAAGAACTATGACGTTCCAGAATGGCTTCCTACATCCCAATTGAACTGTGGGGCATTACTTTATCAGTTCAACCAAGGTGCACGGGCACGTGCCCGCTTCCAGAGTATGCAAGCAGGAGATGCCCACCCGCGGAATTGACTTTCGAAAGTACTGCACTTGCGTGTGGAATAGCGACAAGCAGGTGCGAGAATGATTAAGTGACACAGACTCATAAAGGGTACGGGATGATGAAGAAGGAATCTGGAAATCACAAACGGAAGTAGAAGAACGGCTGATACGTATTGGAAAGAATTGAGAATTGACAAATTATGGAAGATGAAAATGAGAAAAAAAACCATCTGCAAAAGGAATGGTCCAGAAACGGACTGCGCCGGACGCCATCGTTTAGATGTCCTCAGAAATCGATTCCCATTCCGCTTTTGGAAGGATTTTCTTGCGCACAGCTTCCGGAAGGTGAGCGATCTGCTCCTCGACACTGCCGCAATTGGTCCACTGAAGGCGAGCCGGTTCAGCTTTATCCAAACGCTGCAATTGTTCGCGTAGAGGATACGGACTTTGGGTGGCAGGGTCGATTTGACTCTTGTCCGTGATAATCCAGTGACAAACGCGGTGGGGGATATCTCAAACGCTAACCTCCCATTCAAAGACAGTTGCTGGGACGCCCTTTTGGATGCAGCGTTTCTTGAGGGACTTACCCTTTTTGACAAGGGACTCATGACGCTTACCGCGACGAGACTCCGCCAACACTGCGGATTCTGGAAGAAGTTCCAAAAGGAAAATGACCCAGTGTAACATTTCCCACTGGTGACGCATGGATTCGCACATGTATTCGACCCACGCAGGGGCACCTTGTGCAGTAGGGGTCATCGCGGAACGTTTGTGGAAATATAGCAACTTTGGACGTTTCCTCCACATATCTTGCCACGGCGCTTTGCGAAGAATTTCTCGGTATTAGTCGAAGTAGTCCGCGAATCGCCTTTGTAAGATGTCCAAGTCGTGAC